TCATAAGCGATTATTCTTTTCATATTCGAATTATGATTGGTCAATTTCTTACTTCTTAAAACTTAAATCATCTATTGTGTGTAATCTCCCGACACTTAAGAAATTAAAGAATAGACCTACTGTGTAGCTATCTCGGAAGTCCTGCTTTGGATGCTCTGCCTGCAGTACTATGTAAACGAACACCAAAATGAATTTTATTAGAATAAGAAGTGAAAAGGGTCAGAAATAAATAATTGATCCAAGTAAAATAAGAATAATAAGGTATAATTAAAATAAAAATAAGATAAAATAAAAAAAATAAGAAAAAATAAAAATAAAAAATAAGAATAAAATAAGAAAAATAAAAAAATAAGAATAATAAAATATAATTCACAAAAAATTAATATCTAACTTTTAAGTAAAATTCATAGATTAAATATTTTTATAATATCTATTATTTATATCAATTAAATTTAATATCAATAAAATTATCTTTTATACAATAAAAAAGTTTTATTACATTTTAATTATTCGAATAAATTTATGTATAAAATTGTGTAACGGAACGTATCCCTCCGCTCCGTTCCTCCTCTAATTTTCCCCCGACCGACCATCCGTCAGGGATAGCCGACCAACAGGAATGCGGCAGTGGCCACAAAAGACGTTTACGCCTCTTTTAATCTATACCAAATTCGCGAACTCCGAAGCGTCAGAATATAGCGAAGGAATGTATATGTATATGTAAATATATATATATATATACAAATATGTTATTTTAATTCAAGTGTTATTTCTTTAAGTTGTGTTTGTAGAATTATAAACGTGCGCGATTTGGGATCCATTTCCTCTTGTTGAAAATCCTTTTGTCTCTAGAAGGTCAATCGAATGTCTGTAGAATGAGCAATCTAAGTCGGTCCACAATAAGTGATTTAAGCTTTAAGAAGTAAGAAATTGACCAATCATAATCGAATATGAAAAGAATAATCGCTTATGATAGATCAATTTCTTACGGCTTAAAGATTAAATACCTATTGTGGACCGAGACTAACCGATGCGTCATACAAGGAATCGCGCGGCAAATGATACAATAAAATGGGATGGGGAAGATTTTGATTGGTCAATTTGTGACGGATGACGCGCTCAATGGGAATTCATCCTTAGTGTAGTGAAAGCTTAATTTCAGAATATATTTCCTATATTTTATCATTACTAATAAGTGTAGATAAAATAATTATTGATATTGTCGTGAACATCATTGCATATATAATAAAATATGTAATGCGGATTTCAAAAATTAGAAAATTAGAAAATTAGAAAAATTAGAAAAAAAAATGTGTGGCAAAAAATTTCCGAAAATTTAAAAAATTTTGATGAAATAAATATGTCAGATAATTTTTTATTTTCTAAATTATCACTATATAACATAAAACTGCCTTATAACATAAATTCTTTTTATAGCTAAAAAAAATCGAAAAACGTTGGTCATGTTTAAGGAATAAATTTAGCGAAGAGAATAGGTGACAAAAATTATCATCATCTGATTCTGGATATGACCTGACAAAGAAATAGGAGTTATATAGGAATATGCTATTTTTAATTCCTTATGTGGCTCACAGAAGTTTAATTTCAAGTTTTTATATTTTTTATTTTATAGTGTATTTTGTAGTATTATTCTTTTACGTTTTTTTAAAAGTAGTTGTATTTTCTAATTTGCATCCAAACTAATAATAGATTTGAATAAACCTTCAACATTTCGATATCCATGCTTATACTTTTGTTCCAATTTGCGACTCAATTATAGAATAGCAAGTCATATTCATATCCGACATACAACATATGAAAAGCGATTAGGCCTGTTCTACAATACGTCGTGTATTTGTGTCGTGTCATGGACTGTAAGAATGGGCCAATCACAATCAAGTATTCTTCCCACATTCGTCTGTGATTGATCAATTTTTGTGGCTTGCGACACCGACTCACGATACAATGTAGAACAGGCTTTAACGACAGCCGACACATGATGTATTGTAGAATAAACCTTAAACTTGTCATAATAACAGTAATAAATAAACATTTTTCTCCCTTTGTTATCCTCAGTATAGTCAAAACGATAATATCAATGTTTTTCAATTATCCCCGGGCCCCAAAAGCGATCACGCTAACTCCCGTTAGTGTCGATCGTAAACCGAGACTAAGTGTCGGTCCATAATAAGTATTTAATCTTTAAGCCGTAAAAAATTGACCAATCATAATCGATTATTCTTTTCATATTCGATTATAATTGATCAATTTCTTACTTCTTAAAGCTTAAATCATCTACCTTGTGGACCGATACTAAGATTGTCGGTTTTTAAGGCTCGGCAGAAGAGACTATGGAGATCTCTATCGGAGATAAATTCCTTTTCACAATTACACGACAATTTCCATAAAAAAAGAGAAGATAATGTTGATAATAATGAAAGATATCTATTAGATTCGGAAAAAATTAACGGAGACCGACTGGATTTGAACTCGGGATTCCTCGTTTACCAATCCGACACTTAGTCTGCACGACCACGACGGCTCCTCTCTGTTAGCTGTTTATATTCCGAATCTCTTTCATGACCGCTTACGGTCGTCTAATTCTTACAGTAACAAAAATTCTTAGACTTAATTTAATTTTTGTGGATTGGTGATACTGTGTAAGTAGTAATCTGTGGTCTAGTCTTTTCCACCGAAGTCTTTAATTCGATTCGGTTCGAATCAAATTTAATATGCTGTTTCCATCGGAAGTAAAGTAGAAGTGAAAAAGACTGACATTTCAGTAGAACCAGCATAACTTTTATTTGTCGAACATAAACAAATTAACCTCTGAAAAATACATATATAAGTTACACTTATAATTGTGTAAAAAAATGGATTTTGAAATAATTTTGTTGAATCATCAATTATACGGAATAGTTACTGATATAATGAACGATTACTGTTATGAAAAGTAAAGTTGGTATTATCTACTTTCAATCATTTCCATCGATTAAATCTTGTATTAATTCGCTGCCCCTCTGATAAGATTTGTGGATCGAAACGGGATTGAAATGAGCGCAATTTGTCGCGTTTCCATCGACAAATCTGGTTCTATGTCGTATTAGAAGCGAATTAAGACATCGGTGTAAACTAGACTTGTTGCGGAAGCCTTTTTGATGTGTGTATATGCATGTCATATGACGCATATATAAATAATATAAACACAGATGTCTATACTAACACAAGTGTCTAACTAGATTAGATTGCTAACATGCCATTATTGAAATAGCATGGCTTATACGTCCGACAGGATTTCCGGTGTATGCAAGAAAATGGTCGCTGTCGCCACATATTTAAAATAATTATTGCGTGTGATATTCAACAAAGTTTTGTAATAATTATTGTTTTACTCAAATAAAGTGTGTAAATTAAAAAAACAATATTTATTTTAATTGTTGAGTAATCAGAAAGCCTATTTAACTGTAATAAATAATATTTGAAAAACATATATTAGTAATTCAACATAATAAAAAGAAAAATAAGAAGCAAAATATAAAAAAAATAAAAATAAAAATTATTAAAAAAATTTAAAAAGTTAATTGTTATAAAATAAAATGAGTTTGGTCAATCGATGATGTTGATTAATTGAAGTAATTTATTCAATTTATTCGAGTATGAAAACATTCTTATTGTTAAATATTACCTACATATCACAATTATTAGTTGAACGGTACACGGTATATAATATCTATTCCAATTTCTAATTCGTTAAAACATCTAGTATCTAATGTAAATACATTTGTATTTAATACAAATTTTCTTGATACTCTAGTAACAACTTTCTTTTAGTAACAACTTTATTGTATATATCTCTTTTTAGAATCTGCGGTTGTCTTTTGTTAAAAGAAAAAATTCCAATATTTTGAAGCCAAATAATTTTTTTTTCAAATAATCTTCTCTTTTAAATAAAAAATAAAATATTAAAAAACAAAATATTAAAATATTAAAAATTTCGTTTTTATCATAATATATAAAATTGCATTAATCACTATTTACGTTTCATGAAACATTTATATATTTATTATTTTAAATGTAAAACTTACTTAAATAGACTAACACCATCTTTTTTTATTACATTTTTTGATGCAACAAGACTGGCATTTTTACAGAAATTT